CATCACAGCACTAGGATACTATACTGAAAACCCTGCAAAATGTTTCATCCATTCAATCAGTTCATTCATTCATTTGTTTATTTTTGTTTATTAGTCCATATTTTTAACAAATTTAATGTAATCGCTCTACTGGCTTAGCAATCCTTCCACCGCCCCCCTCTTCGCTCCCTCGATAGCCCAACTATTGCTCTTATCCACAACATAATACCGTTTTTCGGCGCTCGCCAATCAACACCTATACGTACGATTACTGCTGATAACAATTTTGTTTATAAGCTTTGTAGGACAGTTTGACCATAGAATTTTTGAATAAAACAACTGCAATGTTCTTACACTCTTTGATCATTTGCATAGATTTTTGACATACCATTACTTTTCAAATGAAATAACTTTTTCATATAAATAACCAAAAAAAAGTTTTTACCCTATGCATTCAAACCGTCAATTTCTAAATGATCAGGGTAAAGTGTTAACAACATCTGCAAACGTAAAAGCAAACTCCACTTAAATATTGAAAAATGACAAAAAAAGATAAAGAAACATTGTTCTGAACAGCCAAATAACTTAGTTGTTCACCTTCACAATTTCACACTTCATCATATCACTAAAACCAGCTATAAGCTGATGTGAAAAAAATGCTTCATTCACATAGACAAAAGAATTCTCTGTACTTGATTCGCTTTTTTGCTGCCGATTACCAAAAAAAACATATACGCAAAGAAACTCGTGGAAAATTCGGAATAATAGTAACAAAATCATGACCTTAAACCAGCACGATGATTCCCGCTAAGAGAATACAACAGTCGAAGATCACAATAATAATTTTGTTTTAAAAAAAATGTTTTTTCGTTCATTTGTTTCACCTTTCAGCAACACTGTTTGGAGGTATTTTTTGCATTATCTCCAAACAGAAAACTTTAAATTTCATACGCAAAAAAATTTCATGGTTTTTCTAGAAAGAATAAATAAATATAATAACGACGGCAGCAATAACAGCAACAACAGTAATAAAAAGTTTAACGTACCACTGCAAACCAATAATAAATACGTGTTTACATACATGACAACATACAAAAATTTTTAAAAACTTTTCGTCGGTAACTCTTTTACAACAGAGTAAAAAAAAACAAATTAAAGAAGAAAAAATTGTGAAAAACTTCAAAGATTGGTAGAGCCGAGTAAAATCCATAAAGATGATGACGTAAGCAGAAAACGTTAAGCGTATCAAAATCAGCCAAACAAAACTGAGGCTAAAAAAAGGATAAATGCAGCTGATCCAATTTTTTTTAACCTTTTTTTTGAAATTTTTTTCTTTCTTTTTTTCTTTGTTTTTTCCTAAACAAATCAGAAATCTTCATGCTGTAATTATTTTCTTTTTTTGTCTCGTTTGCATCTAAAAAACCACCTGATTTGGTTAGTAGTGGGAAATTTGCAACAATTTTGCATAACCGGACGTCGCTGGAAGTATTACTCTGGTAAAGCTGAACAAACTTTCTAAACCCAGAAGATCCTAAACAGCAATTTGATAAAGCTGAGTACATCCAAGAATATAGAGGTTGGAACAAATACCAGAACAGACCGATAAAGCAGGAGAAGATGCACAAGACAAAATAAACCAAAAAAAACCACGCTTGTAGCAGGTAAAACAAATTAGCAAATAGACTAAAGATAACCTTCGATTGGCATTTGATGCGCTAAATTGATGAAGCCAATTGGGCAGGAAAACCGTGCCGTGAAGTCAGATAGAATAGAATTACTTTTTTTTTTGCAACCAAAACAAAATCAGGAAAGCTTCTGCGGTTGCATCACTTTTACCGATTGGGTTCGCTTAGACGCTATATTGAAAAGCAAACAGAATGTATGTATCTACTGATACTGCTGCATATACCTCTTAGTTTTCTTGCCGTTTTTGTTGTTGTTGCTTTTGCTGTTGCTGCTGTTGCTGCTGTTGCTGCAGCTGCTGTTGCTGCTACTGCTTCTACCGCTCCTATTGTTGCTACTGCTACTGATCAAACGATGATGAGAATGAAATCGAAAAAAAATGGAGTAAAAAGA